CTCCATTCCTTAGGTAGATCATTGACATTTTATTCTTCCGGAATTTGTTCTTCTTGTTGTTCCAATTGATTCTCATTGTTGATCTTGGAGGAATCTTCTTTAAGAATGTCTAAAATCTCATCATTATCATTTAAAACAATAGTATCCTCCTTGGAGGGGTTAGATTCATCAAATGATATGTGCATAGATTCCTCAATAGTTAAAGTTCTTTTATTGTAAATACGATAAGCTTTACTAGATAAGGAGTATCCAAGAAAAATACCTTCATCTGATTTTTCATCAAACTTACCAAGGTTGTTTTTACCGTTGTTAAGGACAAAACATTTGCAGCCAAAGACATGAAAGAATGAAATATTTGGTTTCCTTCCTCGTAAGGGTTCATACGGAGTCTTCTTCAAGATAGGTCGAATATTAACTCTATTGCTTACAAAGCATGCCGTACTTACAGCATCCGCCTAAAAATATTTTGGAAGGTTTGAATCACTAAGCATTGTCCTTGCAAGTTCAATAAGAGACTTATTCTTCCTTTCTACAACTCCATTCTGTTGAGGAGTCCTTAGTGCCGAGAAATTATGTGATATTCCATGTTCTTCACAGAAATCTTCAAAGGAGGAATTCTGGAATTCTCCACCATGGTCGCTTCTTATGGAGGCAATAGATAGTGACTTCTCATTTTGAATTTGCTTTGCATATTTCTTGAATGCCTTGAATGCATCATTTTTCTGCACTAAAAAGAGTGTCCAAGTATATATAGAAAAGTCATCAACAATAACTAGAGCGTATATATTACCTCTGAAGCTTCTTGTTCTTGAAGGGCCAAACAAGTCCATATGAAGCAGTTGTAGTGGCCTAGTAGTGGATACCACATTCTTGGATTTGAAAGTTGATTTTGTTTGCTTTCCCTTTTGACATGCATCACAAAGTCTATCTTTGATGAACTTTATCTTAGGCAGTCCAACAACAAGGTCATGCTTAATCAATTTGTTTAGGTGCTCCATATGAATATGAGTGATCCTCTTGTGCCATAGCCATGAGTCGTTGTTGTTTGCCATTAGACATTTAACCTTCAAAGACAAATCGTTAAGGGAAATCATAAAAATATTATTTACTCTTTTACCTTTAAGTTTAGCCTCATGTTTGACTTCATCTTCTATCAAACATTCATCTTTAGTGAACTTGATCTTGAAGCCTTTGTCACATAGTTGGCTAATACTTAGAAGATTGTGCTTTAGTCCTTTGACATAAAGAACATCTTCAATTGATGTGAAAGGTGGACCACCAACTTTTCCTATGCCAAGGATCTTTCCTTTGTTGTTATCTCCATACGTCACATAACCCTTGGCCTTAAGCGTTAGATGTGAAAATTTGTCGATGTCTCCCGTCATATGCTTGGAACAACCACTATCGAGATACCATAGATTTGAAGTGGTCGTCAATCTTACCTACAAAACAAAATTAGGTTTTGTTATGTACCCAAGTTTCTTTGGGTCCTTCATAATTAGTTCCTTTCTTAACCCACACATAATGCCCATTTTCCATGCCAAAGTTTCTAACATAACACGCATTAGGTGTGTGTCCTTGTATACCACAATAAAAACAAGTAGGTTCAAATTTACTTCTATATCTAGAAGGATAAGATTTCTTCTTAGAGGGTATTTTCTTTTTAGGATAGTGATGAACTATTTTGGGAGTGATTTCTTTCTCTTTGGTTGGTTGATCGCTAGCCTTGACAAAGATGGTTTTGTTGGTACTTGGTTTTGAAAATTTTGAGTATCCGAGACCACTTTTGTCATTTGAGTATCTTTGTTGGCTAAGAACACCTTCCAATCCAATTTGTCCTTTTTCATATCTTTCAAGAACCCTTTTCAATTTGACAATTTGGAAAGAGAGAGATTCACACTATGTGCATACAAAATTCTGTTTTTCATCACTAACTTTTTGCTTTTCATCTTTGAGATCTTCTTCAATAGATCCACATTTTTCTTCCAACGATGAAATTTGTTTCTTTTGTGATGAGATAGTTTTGTACAGAATTTTGCATTCATTTAACAGTTCATTTATAGCACCTTGTGCATCACTATCAAAAAGAGAAAATATGTTACTAACCTCATCATCTTCGCTTTCGGAGTGGTGTGATGCCATTAACGCAAGATTGGTACTTTCGTCGCTATCGGAGTCAGATGACGAACTTAGTTCAACATCTTCCCATGCAACATATGCTTTCTTATCTTTTGATTCCTTCTTGCCTTTGTAGCCACTTTTCTTTGAAAGTTTTGGACAGTCCGGTTTGATGTGACATTGTTTACCACATTCATAACAAGTAACTTCTTGTGTTGATGAGGATCCTTCCTTCTTCTTGAAGTGTTTCTTCTTCTTTGAGTGTGAGAAGGCTTTGTCATTTTTACCAAAGAATTTTCCAAGTCTTCTAACGAGAAGCATGAAGTTTTCATCTTCATTAGGATTATCTTTCTTTTCGTCTTCCTTGGAGTCAATCTTCAAGGCAATGTTCTTAGACTTCTTTTCTTGATTTTCACGCTTTTCCAATCTACCAAGTTCTGTCTTGTATTCTTGAAGTTTCCCGAACAAAGTTGCAGATGTCATAGTAGCGAGACTCTTCTTTTATGAGATTGACGTTACTTTTGGTTGACATTCTCTAGTCAAGGATCTGAGCACTTTTAGGTTCAACTCATCATTGGTCAATGTTTTGCCAAGTGCCCTTAGATGATTTGTTAGATGCACAAATCTCTTTTGTAAATCAAGAATGGATTCTCCGGGTTGCATACGGAACAATTCATATTCTTGACTTAATGTATTAAGTCTCAATCTCTTTACTTCAGTTGTTCCTTCATGTGTTTCAACCAGTGTATCCCAAATTTCTTTTGCCGTTGTACATGCTGAGACGCGGAAGAATTCATCCATACTAAGTGCACTTTGAAGGAGGTTTATTGCCTTTTTGTCATACAAGACCTTTTTCTTATCATCATCATCCCATGTAGTTTTAGGCTTTGATGAGCCAACGCCGTTTACTACAGTTACCGGAATAAAAGGGCCATTTTGGACATCATCCCATATTTCTTCTCCTTGTGCTTCTAGATGAGCCTTCATACGGATCTTCCAGAAATCAAAATATTCACCACGAAATAGAGGAGGCTTGTTGCTACTGCCACCGTCTCTGAACACAGAATTGTTGTTTGCGGAAGCCATTCTGGATCTAGTAGGAATAGGTTACCTATAACCTGCTCTGGTACCAATTGTAAGTTCAGATGCGCCTAAGAGGGGGGTGAATTAGGTTCTAAAAACTTTTTCTGGTTTGTATGAATATTTTTGCACGAGTTTCTTTCCTTTCTTTTTCTGATAAGTGATGAAAGCAGTAAATGCGAAAAGTAAAGAACACCAGGATTTATACTAGTTCCCCTCACAATCCGAGGGTACGTCTAGTCCCCTTTCACACGAAAGAGATTTTCTTATAGTTGGTAATTTGTACAAAGACTACCAAACAACCAAGAACAATCCTCTTGGACCAAGAACAATCCTCTTGGATTTTCACTAAGACCACAAAGAGAGCAATCCTCCCTAAGTGTCTTTCTTGTTTCCAACAATCCTGAAAACAAGGATACAATAGTTTGTTTGATTTGCATAAGAGTTTGAAAGATGAAGGAGCAATGTCAATCACTTGATTAATCTTTTCTATTCAATATGAAATTTAATATGGAATACTATTCTAAGTGCTCAAGAGCAATTTTCAGTATGCATGTGAAAATGATAAACAGAAATCTTGAGTATAGAGAGTATGATTCAAAGAATAGAAAGTAATTGTTATTTTTTGGTGATTGTTGTTGTATTTTCAAAATTCAAAATAAAAATAATTTATAGTGTAGTAATACCTCTTCAATGAATCATAGCAATGTTTAAACCATTTTTACTGGAAAAAATGTATTTGAAAAGATACAAAGATTGCCATGAAAAGGTGTTACAAAAAGTTGCTGGAAAAATGAAAATTTTCAAAATCTGAAGCACAACAACCGATTGCACTAAAGCAACAATCGATTGCAGCACAGCAATGTTTAAAAAATTTGAAAAATATAACTATGACAACCAATTGTCATTGAGGAGCAATCGGTTGCTCATAGGCCAATGTTCAAAAAAATTTGAAAACAAAACACATGACAATCGATTGCTGCTAGATGACAATCGATTGTTGTCAAAACAGAAGCTTTTGTTTTTTGACTGCAACCGATTGTCCTAGCATGACAATCGATTGCTTGTGTACAAAAATTGAAAAATAATTATTTCTTAAATATTTTAATCAATTTAAAACATCCTTCTTCAATCATACATAGTATATACTCAAAATATTATTTTAATAAAGTAAATGCATGATTAAAAATAGTTTTGAGCACTAAGAGCATAAGATCAAAAATTTCATATACCTAAAGCCATAAGTCTTGAAATGTTGATCTTGATCAATGAATCTTGCTTGAGATAAATCTTCTATATTGATCCATTTATTTTTGTATGCTAGTTTGTCTTCATCAAAATACTTGGAAAGCTTGATTTCACAGGAGGGAAGTGTCGAATTGAGGCATGTAGCAAGCAAAAATCAAGCAGCGGATATTTTCACAAAACCACTATCAAAAGAGATCTTCGACAGAGGCAAGAAGATGATAGGAATGCTGGATGGAAGAAACATTTAAGTTTACAGAGGAGTTTTGTTAAGTAAACTTTAATGTCATTAGTAATAAGTTTTCATATTAAATATGGTAGTAGGAAGATTAAGAACCAATGTAATTTGGAAGCACAAAAGTTAGTAAGTTATGATAGTTTTTATTAGTAGAAGTTATCTTTTGGAATTGTAAAAGTCATTGGGTCTATATAAGGACCAAGATTGTATTTTATTTAACAAGCAATAAACAAAAGGTTTGCCTCTTTCTCAAAATAAATCACATAAAGAAGTCTGCTTCTTTATATTAAAAACTAGAATAGTTGAACTTAGGTTTCAGATGACTTTGGTTGAGCTTTTAGATGAGAGTAATATGGTTCCTGTTTCGGCTTACGAGAATTCAGAAGTTGAAATTAGTGGAATTCAACACGATTTTAGGCTTGTAACATCTGGTAATTTGTTTGTGTGTTGTGTTAGAAGTAAAAACGACGGACACATGTTCTTGAGAGAGGCTAATAAAAGAGAAGTTGTTATTGTTAAGTTAACACTCATAACCTTTACTTCTCTTTGGAAAACTATTAGCTACAAAAACCTTACTTCAATCGAAATTGAAGGTATCTCATATGCATATGACGAAGGAGGTTTATCAGCAGCAGAAAGCTTAGAGATTTACAAAGAAACCTTTTGGAGAGTTGAATCAGAATCACTTTTTGAGCTTCTTCAGAAACTACCCGCCTCAGAAACTCCACCAAGTTGTGTTATTTTTTATGTTTTTTTGCTTTGGACTCTTGATGTTGGTAAAAGCTTTGGGTTACTCGGTATAGGTTTTTTCACTCAATCTTGTTATGTTAATATTTTCAGACTCATGAGAAGTTTATTGAGTTAGCACTTTCAAAATCTGAGCATTTGTTGCATGGATTGCCTAAACTTGCTCTAGGGGATTTGCCTACCTTTTTGTATAAGTATGGATCTTATCCTGGATATTTTGACATAGTGGTCAATCAATTTGACAATATTGATTTGGCTAATGGAGGTGAAAAGCCTCCAATCTGGCAAGATTTTGTTGGAATCATTGTTCTCTTGGTCATCAACTCAACTATCATTTCATCATAAAAAAACAATGCCGATAACACCGTTGCCTCTCCCATGGTTGGTTTAGCTCCCAAGGCCAAGGTACTAAGATATGGTAAATGGGGTGAGCAAGATGCTGCAATTCTAGTACCAGGGGACATAATCAGCATCAAGTTAGGAGACATCCTTCTGACCGATGCACGTCTTCTCGAGGGAGATCCTTTAAGTGTTGATCAATCTACTTTAACAGGAGAATCTCTTCCTATCACAAAGGGTGCAACTCAAGAAGTGTTTTCAGGATCGACCGTTAAGAAGGGTGAGATCAAAGTCACTGTGTATGCAACTGGTGTACACATGTTTTTCGGTAAAGTGACTCATTTGGTTGATAGTACTAATCAGGTTGGGCCTCTTCAGAAAGTGCTTACCGCTATTGGAAACTTTTGTATTTGTTCGATTGCGGTTGGAATAGTCATTGAACTAATTGTGATGTATCTGGCAACATCGCAAGTATAGAGACGAAATTGATCATCTTTTGGTGCTTTTGATCGTTGGAATTTTGATTGCAATGCCAACTGTTTTGTCTGTTACTATGGTTATTGGCTCTCATAAGCTTTCACAGCAAGGTGAAATTACAAAGATAATGATTGTTATTGTAGAAATGGCTGTAATGAATGTTCTTTGCAGTGATAAAACTGGAAATCTCACTTTGAATAAACTTAGTGTTGATAAAAACTTGATTGAAGTGTTTGCTAGGGGAATTGATAAGGAGTCGATGATACTTTTAGCCGCAAGAGCTTCTGGGATAGAAAATCAGGATGATATAGATCCTTCTATTGTTGGAATGCTAGCTGATCCACAATAGGCTAGAGTTGGATTTGCAGGAGTATTTCCTGAACACAAATATGAAATTGTCAAGAGACTGAAAGATAGGAAGCATATATGCGGAATGACATGAGATGGTGTAAACGATGCTCCTGCATTAAAGAGAGTTGATATTGGAATTGCTGTTGTGAATGCTATTTTTGATGTTAATTATAAGTGTTTGCTTGTTGGCGTTAATTTTTTGTAAAACCAGATTTGCGAATGTCATGACTGATGTCATAACATTCTGGGATAAAGACAAATTCTGCAGAAGGAATGTTCTACAGGAACAACTCAGTATGAGTGAATATCATGATGATTAAGCTATGTTCATATGTACTGAATTCTACCAAAATCAGTGAGCAGGATACATGATGTCATAACCAATGTTAAGACATCCTGTACTGATCAAGTTGTTGTGCAGATTTATTGTTCCTGAGAATTTTCAGGAATCTGGTGTGCTATTCTAAGTTGAAGTATATTGACTAGATCAGATGCTCACGTGGATATTAGGTTAACCTTGCTTAACCCTAATCTGTTATGATGAAAGCCCAAGACCAAGTCTTTAGGTTAACTTTGGTTAACCCTAGCTATTTTTATGGAAGCCCAAAATGAAGAATAGACTGGATATATATTTCTCACGAATCCTAATGGTGTGTAGCGCTTTTCAGAGAAGATCTATAAGGCATTTTGTAGTTGTGATAGTTTTAGTAATTACTGTGATCCAAGCAATTATCACTTGATAAGTGACTTGGAGTAGGATTTGGTTGTAAGGGTTGTTTATCACTCAAAGCTTTGAAGCACGAGTGTTGTGTCTCTTGATTAAAGCTTTGAAGCAAAATCAAGTGTGTGTATTGAAGAATGTCTTCATAATCTTATTAATCAGTAGATTAGTATCACTGCTGTGATTGAGGGGGAGTGAGTAGGAACTCAGGTTTAAGTAGGACTTAGATTGAAGTTGCATTGGGTAGGTCTTAAGTGAAGGAGATAAATTGGTTGGTTTATTCCTAAATTAATACCTCTTATAGTGAATTTCCTCCCTGGCTTGGTAGCCCCCAGATATAGGTGTTGTTATACACTGAACTGGGTTAACAATTGATTGTGTTCTTTACTGTCTTTTAAATTATTGTTTGGTTTGTGTACAATTTGTCAGATACGGTGTCATAACATTCACTGTGACATTAAGTATCTGTTGCCAGAATTTCAATTGGCATCAGAGCAGGCACCCTGCCTGTCTTTCTGGGTGAGATCTAGGGATATTATTTTCTGGCGCTATGGACAAGGAAGGAGGATTTGGGAACAGACCACCTATTCTGGATGGATCAAACTATGACTACTGGAAACCTCGTATGATTGCCTTCTTGAAGTCACTAGACAACAAAGCTTGGAGAGTTGCTGACAAAGGATGGAACCATCCCACCATAACTGGGAAAGATGGGACGACTAGTCTGAAACATGAGGAAGAATGGAGCAAAGAAGAAGAAGAGTTAGCCCTGGCTAACTCTAAAGCATTGAATGCCTTGTTCAATGGAATTGATAGAAACATATTCAGACTAGTACATCAATGTGAACTGGCCAAGGATGTTTGGGACACTCTCAAAACCACCCATGAGGGTACATCAAAAGTAAAAGTGTCAAGACTTCAGATGCTCACTACCAAATTTGAGAATCTAAGGATGAAGGAAGATGAGACCATTCATGAGTTTCACATGAACATCTTGGAAATTACCAACACCTCGGGAGCATTAGGAGAAAAGATTTCAGAAGAAAAGCTGGTGAGAAAGATTCTCAGATCCTTGCCTAAAAGGTTTGCAATGAAAGTGACTGCTATAGAGGAAGCTCAGGATATCTGCAACTTGAAGGTTGATGAACTCATTAGGTCACTTCAGACATTTGAGATGGGGATCAGTGACCATGTTGACAAGAAAAACAAGAGCATATCCCTTGTATCCAATACTGAAGATGAAAGCAATGAGAGTGATGAAGAGAATATATCAGAAGCTATATCTATGCTTGGAAGGCAGTTCAACAAACTCATCAAGAGAATGGACCCAAAGTCAAGGTCAAATGCCAAGAACATTTCCTCTGACATTAGCAGATCCTATGACTCCAGCAGAAGAACTAAGTCTGAAGAGAAGGGAAATCAAAGCAGAGGAATCCAATGCCGTGGATGTGAAGGATATGGGCACATTCTAGCTGAATGTCCTACCTTTATAAAGAAACAAAAGAAAGGAATGTCTGTTACTTGGTCTGATGGTGACTCAGAAAGTGACTCTGAAGAAGAATCTGCTAAACTAGTTACTGCACTATCTGGTGTTTGTATCTCTGATAATGATTCTAGTGATGAGGAAGTGACATTTGAAGAACTTGTTGACTCCTATAAGAAGCTATGTATCAGAAGTGCTAAAGTCTGTCAGCAAAATGAGAAATAGAAAAAACTCACAGGGAAGTTGGAGGCTGAGAAGAAGGCAGACACTGCTACTATAAGCCATCTCAAAGGTGAAGTTCTAATGTTGAACTCCAAACTTGATCAGATGACTAAGTCTGTCAAGATGTTAACAACTGGAACTGACAAGTTGGAAGAAATCCTTCAGGCTGGACAAAGTGCAGGAAACATGTCTGGTCTAGGATTTGTGGCTGCAAAGAAATCTGTTGTTGACAAGAAGAAGGCCAGGCCTGATAAACAAATGTCAAAGCAGATGTCAAAACATAGGACTCAACATCAAGAACAGAGAAATATGAAGAAAAAGTATCAAAGATGGAGATGTCATTATTGTGGGAAGTTTGGTCACATAAATCCATTCTGCTTCAGATTATATGGATATCCTAATCAGACCCCATATGTCAAACCTAAGACTAACAAGGCACCATATACTCAACAGTGGAAGAAAAAGACTGCAGCCCTGATAGCTCACACCTCCCTTAGAGTTTCTTCCAAGGAAGACTGGTACTTTGATAGTGGATGCTCTAAACACATGACCGGAATCAAGAATCTGCTGAATGATGTGAAACCTCATACTACTAGTTATGTCACTTTTGGATATGGTGCTAGAGGATAAATCAAAGGAGTTGGAAACTTGGACTGCCCTGGAGTTCCAAACCTAAATGAAGTGTTGCTGGTAAATGGTTTGACTGCTAATCTCATAAGTATCAGTCAATTATGTGATCTAGGATTCGAGGTCAACTTCACCAAGTCTGAATGTCTTGTAACTAATGAAAAACAAGAAGTTGTAATGAGAGGAGTCAGATCAAAAGACAACTGTTACTTATGGGAGTCTGAGAACACTAACTACTCTTTTGTGTGCTCTATAGCCAAAGAAGAAAACGAAGTGAAATTGTGGCACCAAAAACTTGGTCATTTACATCTTAGAGGGATGAAAAAGATCATATCCATGGAGGCTGTCAGAGGGATTCCAAGGCTTCAGATTGATGAAGGGAGAGTGTGTGGTGAATGTCAGGTTAGAAAGCAAACTAGAATGTCACATCCAAAGACAAGACATCTGACCACCTCTAAGGTGCTAGAACTTCTACATATGGATCTGATGGGTCCCATGCAGGTGGAAAGTCTTTGTGGAAAGAGATATGCCTATATTGTTGTGGATGATTTTTCCAGATTCACCTGGATAAACTTCATTAGGGAAAAGTCTGATGTATTTGATGTATTTAAGGAATTATGCAAAAGAATTCAAAGAGAAAAAGAAGGATGCATTGTCAGAATTAGAAGTGATCATGGTAAGGAATTTGAAAATAGTAAGTTTGATGAGTTATGTTCCTCAGAAGGAATCAATCATGAGTTCTCTTCACCTATAACTCCTCAACAAAATGGAGTTGTGGAAAGGAAAAACAGGACTATACAGGAATCTGCCAGAGCAATGATACATGCCAAGAAGCTTCCTATTCATTTTTGAGCTGAAGCTATGAATACAGCCCGTTATGTCCACAACATGGGTCACCTTGAGAAAGGGAACATCATCCACCCTTTATGAACTATGGAAAGGAAGAAAGCCTACGGTGAAGTACTTCCATGTCTTTGGGAGCAAATGCTATATTCTGACAGATCGTGAACAAAGGAGAAAGATGGACCCTAAAAGTGATGAAGGAATATTCCTAGGATACTCTACCAACAGCAGAGCATATGGGGTGTTCAATTCCAGGACCAAAGTTATGATGGAGTCTATAAATGTCATAGTTGATGATCACCATGAGGAAACAAATGTCCCATATGATGTTGAGATATTCTTTGAGACTTCAACACAAGTGTATAAAAAGGATGATGTGCCTAATCCTACTCCATTAGAGTCTGAATCAAAGGAAGCTAACAAAGATCCTTCCATCAGAATTCAGAAAGATCATCCTAAGGAACTCATCATAGGAGATCCTAACAGTGGAGTCACTACAAGATCTAGAGAAATCATCACAAACTCTTGTTTTGTGTCTAAGATTGAACCAAAAAATGTTAAAGAGGCTTTGACTGATGAATACTGGATTGGAGCAATGCAAGATGAATTGAACCAGTTCAAGCAACATGAAGTATGGGAGTTAGTTCCTAGACCAGAAGGAACAAACATCATTGGCACAAAGTAGACCTACAAGAACAAGTCAGATGCTGAAGGAGTTGTCACCAGGAATAAGGCAAGGCTTGTTGCTCAAGG